GGTTAAAGCACTGCACTAAGAAGCTTAAGCCACTTCCTCATGAGTTCGATCCCCGCCTGCCCCAGAGGAGATCCACATGGCACGGCAAACCTCTCCTGACCCGCCCGCTGCTCCCCTCAGCAGTGTACTTCTTCGATTTGCCTGTTCTGATCCCCATTCTGTCTCTGGTGAATCCTCTCTCCCTCTACATCTCTGGCCTGTACCCCAGTTCTGTTTGAATAAATAAATCTTAAAAAAAAAAAAAAAGTAAATCTCAAAAATATGTTCAAAGAAGCAAGACACAGAAGAGTACATACTATATGATTCCATAACCAAGACTTCTAGAAAAAGCAAAGCTCATCTATGATGACTTAAATGAAAACAGCAGGTGCTCTGAGTCAGATAGCAGTAGAGAAAGAATGGAAAATAAAATATCTTTTAGGAGTGAAGAATAAGTTCTACATCTCATTTTGGGTGGTAGTTATACAGGTATACCATTCTTAACACTCAGAATTAAAAACTGCATTGTGTAAATTATGAATCAACTTCTTTAAAAGGTTACTATGAGAGCCCTCCCTGGTGGCACAGCAGGTTAAAGCACAGCACTAAGAAGCTAAAGCCACTTCAGCATGAGTTCAATCCCCGAGAGGCGACCCACATGGTGGGGCAGACCTCTCCTGACCCGCCCACTGCTCCCCTCAGCAGTGTACTTCTTCAATCTGTCTGTTCTGCTTCCCATTATGTCTCTGGTGAAGCCTCTCACCACCCCTGCACTTCTGGCCTGTACCCCAGTTCTGTATGCATAAATAAATACATCTTTAAAAAAAAAAAAAAGTTACTAAGAAATCCCCAAAAGCCTATCCACCACCATCTACCCTTTCTTTACCACAACTCTTTCACTATAAATGCTGCTTTCCCAACTATCAGCCAAGAGGGAAATAAGTGAATATTGGCGAATATCATTCTCACCAAACAGCCATCAGTGGCACCAGATGAACAGAGCAGTATCTGAACAGACCAACAATAAATTTATTACAGAGTCAAATGCTAGCCTAAGCTCTATGTCTGAAAATATAGTGAATATACAGAAGTGGTGTTTGGTAAATATAAGTGCAAGACTAGTTTGCTTACAAAATGACTGTAATATGGTCTTATAAGATGCCACAGATCAAAAGGTATATACCTATCTATAAATAGCCTCAGGAAAACAAGGTCAAACCTGGGATCCTGAAGGCCCATTTTGTTCTGGATTCAGATTTTATCTATTCTGACCTTCCACAAAAACAAAACACTAGAACATTCCAAATTCACAGTGGGATTCAAACTGTAAGTCCCCAAAATACCATCTGGGTTTTAATTTTTTGTAATTTTCCATTACAAAATCACTAATGTTAAAGGTATCTATAATAATGATTTTGACAATGACTGCATATCCCCACATAAAATGCTTGTAGATTAATGGATTCTTTTCTGAACATATCCTAATAAAGACTTTGGGGATGAGTTTTCTGACATAGAAAAAGCAGAGGGCCACAATATTCCAGATCTTCCAGAAGCCACTCCTGGAAGTGCTTTCCTGAGGACCCAACAGAAAATTGAGTGTGAGGTCCACTTATTTACCTTAGTGTCTATTAATAAAATAAGCATACAAACTACACAACTTGCCTTTCAGAGTTCTAGCTAAGATTATCACTATAGCAAATTAACACTGAATATATTAATCATAAAACATTGATAATATCCTGCAGACAAAGAATACAGGACCTGCTTTAAGCAGTATATTTAATTCTGCCACCCTTTACAGCTCCCTTGATGTCTTTCTCTAAACTTCAAAGAAAAAAATATTAATTTTAACCAGGTTATTAGTTAGAAGTTGAAAAGTATCCTTTATCCCTCCAAAGCTGCTCTTTAGACAGAACTTTCAGACCACTCAATCTAAATATCTTCGCACTAACTCCTTTTTTCTTCTGAGAAATTAGTCACTATATGAAGTTATTGTGGTTATCAACAATATTCCTTCCCCTACTTAAAGTTCTAAAAAGCAAGATTATTATCTGCCCTATTCACCATTATATCCTTGATCTCAGTAGTGACTTGCAAACAGCAGGTGGACAGCATTGCTGACTGAATAACTGGCCACTAGAAGGAATCATTTATAGTATATGAACTGTCAAAGATAATGAGCTCCTTGTTAACTCAGGAATAGAATTCTCTCAGAATAAAGAACACAAACAAATGTGATGTTCAGTCCCTCTGCAACCTCTTGAACTCAGGAATCTGCTTCCTTGCTTCCTGATATTTCAGCTAATCCCTTACTTGTATATATCTGAAAACAACTGCCTGGCCTACAATGCTACACAGACAACTTCCCAGTCTTACTCTTCTTTTGATAACACAGAAACATATCTAAAACATACCAGAATCAAAGAGAAAGACTAATCATTTTTATGACTTTAAATGGCATATCATAAAAGAGGTCATAGTACTTACGAAATGCTTTATCTATTCTCCATCCATTTGTCTTCTCTTCACGTTTAAATTTATTCTGTTAACAAAACAATAAAAATCTGTAGTTTTCTCCCATATTTAAATAAGAGAAGGTATGTTCACAACAAAAGCATTAAAGTGAAAATCTTAAAATAGTGTATGATTCTCTAATAAGTAGGCCTTTACCAAAAAACAATCATTAGGTTTTGTTTTGTTTTGTTTTTTTAAACAGGTTTGAAAGATTTATATGGCACTTTATGATCTACAGCATAAATCTAAAATGGAAGCTGAATTTACAGAGGTTAGGAAAAATTAGCTAGTGAGTATGGAAATATATCAAACCTATAGTAAACTAACCAGTATTAACTCCTTAAAAACTAATATATTTGTATCCTGGTAACCCTCTTACATATTATACCAATGTGTTTTTAATTACATGGGGGGGGGGACTACAATGAAAAAGCTAAGCAAAAATTTTTAAGCAGGTCAAATTTAGAAATTATTTCATCATATTTTTCTGAGTAACAACAAAGATCCAACCTTCCTTCCACTCACTCAGATTACCTCCAATAAGATGGAAATAGTCAAAGTTTATAGCTCAATCCATTTTAAGGTCATTAGAAATTCTGAGGACATAAGTTGGTATCTGAGGATATTAATTATACATACACATTCAGGGAAAAGGAATCAGTCTCTCCCTTATACAAGTGATCTAAAAGCTCTTTTTTCTTTTCCAGAACACAAAAACCAAACTTTTTATGGGGGGAGGGATGGAAGATAGAGAAAAGTTACATAAAGCAACGGAAGTAGATTTATGGCCATTTTCTTCTTGCCAAAATCAGACCACTAGTCTGATTTCTAAGAAATCCATTTCTTACATTTCCTTATTTTTTAATCACTGAAGTGTATACTTTTAAAATACATAGTTTTGCCTTGCCCACTTAAATAAATTACATGTCACTTTAACACTTTTTAATCTGTGGCTTACATCTCTGTATTTTTCTTCTTAAAACCTATTACCACATGTTTAAAAAACTGAACACTCTTCAAAGGAGAAAAACACAACCATAATCCAGATACAATAGAACATATTATTCACAATGTCCAGTGGATGATTTAAAAACACACACAAGAGAAAAGGCAGGAAAATGCTGACACAATCAAAAAAAGAAAGAAGTCAACACAAACAGATCCCAGGATAACCTAGATGTTGAAAATAGCAAACAAGAAAATTATATTACCTTTTTATAAATATGGACAAGGATTTAAAGGAAAAACTGAAATTAATAACTATGGAAATCAAAACACAGAAAAACAGAAACTAAGAAAAGTAACCAAAAAGAAATGAAAAATATAAGAACTTCTAATGAATGGGCTTAGTACCAGATTGAAGACAGTAAAAAATAAGGTCAATGAAATTGTCATAGAAACTGAAATAGAAAATAAAAATAGGGGGAAAATGGACAGAAGAGTAATAAAAATAAGTGGAATTCCAGAAGGATGAGAATAAAGTGGAAAAAAATATTAAAAGAAATAATTTTAAATTCCCACTAAGTAACTGGAAGTAATAATCCTCAGATCTAAGAAGCTCATAATCATAGTGTAGAACACCAAAGTTAAAGACAAAACCCTGAAAACAGAGAAAAACTAATTTATCACATACAAGGAAAGAATGATATGAATGCCTGACTTTTCATCAGAAACACTGCAAGACAGTGGACAATAGCATAGCACTATAAACACTCAAAGAAATAAACTGTGAAACTAGACTTAAATACCTAGCCAAGAACATTCACTTTAAATGAGGGCACAAGCGATCACCAACTACTGCAGCACCAGTTTGATCCCTGGCCAGCCAGGGAGCTGACCCACCTGGCGCAGAAGACCTTCCCTATCTCATCCACTGATCCCCTCAGCAGTGTGTCTCAGTACATCTGCCTGTTCTGTTCCCCACTATGTCTCTGGTGAAACCTCTCACCCCAACATGCCAGTTCTTGTATGCATAAGTAAATAAATCTTTAGGTAAGCATGTGGTCAAGAATGAAATATTATTCTTCCTATTCAATTCCCTTACAAGACAGAAGACTTTTTAAAAAGTTAAAAAAAAAAAACTTGTGGGGCCCTCCCTGGTGGCACAGCGGGTTAAGGCACAGCACTAAGAAGCTAAAGCCATTTCCGCATGAGTTTGATCCCTGCCTGCCCCGGAGGTGACCACATGGCGTGGCAGACCTCTCCTGACCCGCCTGCTGCTCCCCTCAGCAGTGTTCTTGGTCAATCTGCCTGTTCTGCTCTCCTCTGTCTCTGGTGAATCCTCTCACCCTCCGCATCTCTGGCTTGTACCCCAGTTCTGTATGAAAAAATAAACAAATCTTTAAAAACAAAATCATTGTGAATGAAATGGATATATACTTTACCTTAATTTCTATCCTTGCTCTATGAGGAAAAAGTTGTCCAATCATTGAAAAATCAGTTCCTACCATGCTGATGGCTAAAAAGAACATATCAGTTTCTGTAAAAATAAAAGATTCAGAATGACTGAAAATTAATCTCATCACTAATTGAAAGGAAAAAATCTTAACTATGTATTTTGATTTAAAAGCAGCAGAGCATTCCTCCCTGCCCACCTGTGACTATGTAAATCTTTTTCCCCTTTCTCCTTTGTCTAATAAGTTTATACTTTTAAAATGAAAAAAAAAAAAATGGCAGTACTTAATAGTTTCTTTAAAGCCAAGTAAAACGCTAGTATAAAAATATGTCTGTATATGTACATAGTTGTATTTCAATTTTATTGCAAAGAACCTCACAAATCAAAAATAGTTCTTTCAAGCTTGTATACAGAAACATGGGATGAGACAGACATGTTCTTATCAAAGCAGCTGAAAATTTTTTTACAGATTCTATTTATTTATGTATACAGGAACTGGGATCTAGTTCAGAGGTGTGGGGGTGAAAAGATTCACCAGGACAGAGTGGGGAGCAAAACACTGAGAAAGGGCCTCTCTGGTGGCGCAGGGATTAAGTCAGCACTATCACACAATCTCCAGCCACTGAGGCCTGTGTTCAATCTCCAGCCAGGGAGCTGACGCACATGGTGCAGCAGATCTCTCCTGTCTCACCCACTGCTCCCCTCAGCAGTGTATTTCAGTACATCTGCCTGTTCTGTTTCCTACTCTGTCTCTGGTGATTTTTCTCACCCCCTGCAGACCCCTGAGGACTGTCCTACACCTCAGTTCTTGTGTGAATAAATAAATCAATCTTTAAATATTAAAAAGAACAGAGACAGGAGAGATCTACTGCACCAAGTAGGTTAGCTCCCTGGTCAGGAATGTGCTCGAACTCATGCAGCAGTGCTAATAACACTTGTATCACCAGCAAGGACCCAGTTGAGAATTTTTTTAAAGATATCCTGCCTACTTGGTTTCATTTAAAGTGCCCTGAGGAAAGCTATCAATTAGTTGCCAGTATCATATTACACTATGTTAAAAACAAGAATATGCTAAATAACATGTACAAAATAAATAAAATCTTGAAAAAAGAAAGTAGTGGGCCTTCCCACTAAGGCCTGAACTAGACCCCTGACAAAGGGTGTAGCAGACCTCTCCTGTCTCAAAGCTGCTCCCCACAGCAATATATTTCAGTAAGCCACCTGTTCTGCTCTGGTGAATCTTCTCATCCTCAACACCTCTGGCCTATACCCAATTTTTCTACACATAAATAAATAAATCTTGAAAATAATAAAGTTGTAAACTCAAATAAATAATATTAGTTACCTTTATTTGACCATGGTTTAGAGTAATAGTTTTTCCTAAAACTGGAATACGTAGTTGTAGAGCCACGCTCAAATATGGGGTCATTTTCCTCAACAACACAAGGGCCTTTTGTCCTTAAAACTTCTACAGTTAAACTGAAAGAAACACATTTTCAAAAAGATACACTAAAAACAAGTAAGGAAACAAATAACAAATGAAATCCAAACAGTTAAATTTTGAAATCTGCCATGGAGGTCACATTTCAAAAGCATAGTAATAAATAATAGAAGTATACATACTGCCAATTTTAACTTAAATTGTGATTGCCAAGGGATAAAATAAATGTCAACTTATTTTTAGAATTTTTTAAAGATTTATTTATTTATGTATACAGAACTGGGGTACAGGCCAGAGGTGCAGGGGCGGTGAGAGGATTCACCAGAGACAGAGTGGGGAGCAGAACAAGCAGACTAACAAAGTACACAGCTGAGGGGAGCAATGGTCGAGACAAGTGAGGTCTGCTGTGCCATGTGGGTGACTCCCTGGACGGAGATCAAACTTGGGCTGCAGTGGCTGCAGAGGGCTTCACAGTGATGTGCTTCAATCCTTTGTGCCACCAGGGAGGGCCCTACATTCAGAATTCTTAACAGCAGTATTGAAATTTATAAAATATCTATGGGTTACCTAAAAAAAATTGCCTTATTGAGTTCTGCATGCCTCCCATATTCAATATGTATCACTAAGAAACATTTAACATTCATGAACACAAAATGTTCATGAATGTTTTCAATGTTTTTTTTTTAATTTATTTTTTTTATTACAAAGTTTATTTTTACATCATTTTGCACATTTTTTTTTCCATCTCGATTGTAATCCCCACAGGTTTCCCATGAATGTTTTCAATGTTTTTAAGATTTAATGCCCAGTAATTCATCACCACAAATTGAAGGAAAACATGCAATACTATTAATAGTTTGCTTAACTATCATAAAATTTAAATGTGTAAAGTGATTTTTAATTAAACTGTAAGAAAATTTTCTATCTCATTTCAAAATTTTTTACTACTAATTTATTTCCTGTTTTTGAAAATATACTTTGGGGGCCTCCTTGGTGGCATATGGGGTTAAGTCTCAGCACTATTAAGCTATCGCCAGCCACTGCAGCACGAGTTCGATCCCCAGACAGGGAGCTAATCATATGGTGCAGCAGACCTCTATGTTGCCCACTGCTCCCCTCAGTAGTGTATTTCATTCAGTCTGCCTGTTCTGCTCCCCTTCTATCTCTGCTGAATCCTCTCACCCACAAACTCTGGCAGGTCTGGCCTATACTCGAGTTCTTGTATGCATAAATAAATAAATCTTTAAAAAAATACACTTTGGGAAGACAACTAAATTTCACAATAGCAAATTTTAGAAAGTTAATGTTATAACTGATAAATTAAATCTAGAAAGTGAACAGATTTTACCATAACAAAAATATATACCAAACTTACATCTCATTGTATTTTCTTTAGTTATCATCAGACAGCTATATAGTTAATAACATTGAAAACTTGAATTTTTATTTCAAGACTGTAATGTAGTCTCAGTGAAGAATAGCATGCTGCTGGTTCAACAGCTCAACCCAATTACTAGTAAAGTTAGTAAAGCAATAGTGTTAGGCTAACAAACAATAGGTCAGCAGTCTTATTTTCTTAGCCAAAACATATCACAAAAATTGCTAAAAATTACAAATGAATCTAACCAACTTTTCTATTGAAATCCATTAGGCAAACATAACATCAAAGTCCAAGAAAGAGTGAAAGACAAAGAAGTTCTTTCTCATTAAACATGTCACATTTGTTTTCTCATGAAACCACAATTTATCTTTTTAACTTACCTTTCCTCATCCAAAATAATAGAACCATCTTCAGCCACTTTTACTCGAGGAACCAACAACGGTCCATCATCTGTTTCTTCTTCTGTTTCTTCATTATCTTCAGTATCAGCGGTACTTTTACCTTCTTGTCTAAAAAATGTAGGGGTTTCACATACAGATGAGAAGTGCAAAATTCAACCTTCGAGCTATTTTGAACTTCCCCTATAACCTAGTAGAGAATACTATGTGCTGCTGAAGACATGTTTATAAGATTTTCTCAAAGACCTAGAAAAAAGGTCTTTACTCTCTTTGAAAATAAAGAAATGCTCATCTTCTCTAAAACACAGCCTACTTATAACTTATAATTCAACTATTACAGAATTACAAAATAACCCTTACAGTTAAATAGCATTACTTTCCATATCATTTTATTAATTAATAACTCTTCAGAGCAACACTTCTAGGTTAGTCTTTTCATATCCACTTGAGGCTTAGAAAAGACAAGTTTTGCTCTAAATTGCACAATAGTAAGTAAGGGTAGACCAAGAAGGTAGTTTTTCAAACGATTCCAAATCTCCTATATCTTCCATTTGGCTACACTGTCACCTTAAAGTTGTATTAAAGCAAACACAGCCTCGAACATACAGCCTCCTTATACATAAATACATATTACATATTTCTAAAACTTGGGAGTCCTATTTTGAAACCATCTGAGTCCTAAGCAAAACAAGTAGCCAGTTCTTGATCCTTGAAATTATAACCAGAAAAATCCCAATGTTTCTGCTAATTTCCCACAATCTCCTACCGTGATTACCAGGATACACTAACTTTCTAAATGGTCTCTTGGAAAGATTTCTTAGGAGGAAACTAACCATGGGTCAGTGCAATGTAGAAAGCAAAAAGGGGTTGTACACAAAAAAGGCTAAGAGTGACATCAAAAGTATACCCATTGCAGAACAGTGTGAACAGAAAGCTTAAAAAAGGAAAAAGAAATTGATTACATTTATTGCCTCCAGGGAGGGAAGTACAGTGGCAGAATATAGGGATGGAGGACTTTTACCTATATACACTTTTCATCTTTTTGAGTTTTTTAACATGAATATAGAGTATTAATATAAAACAAAATCATTTTCAATTTTAAAAGCTTTAGTTTAAAATCATAACACATGTAATATGCAAATAACATAAGACTTTCATTTTTATCTAAATCTGGTAGTAACTTATTCTTGTGACCCTATTTAAACAGACTGATTCAAGAAAGAATAAATGCTTGCTTACTCTCTTGTCTGGACTGGTGGCAATGATTTTTCAACTTTCTTTTCTTGCTCCAGGGAAGAACTATGAAGCACAAAGAACAGAATACTTTTTAACAATTAAATTGACATTTTGTCAATTATATGTATCTGTAGGCAAAAATGAAATTATTTAAACCTTTCTTAAATTAATGATATATACCATAATACTACTATTAATGATGATATGCCACAACTGTTGATTTTTCAGCCAAAACTTTCATCATCACCAAGTACAATAGTTCATCAGGCCTTAACTAGGGCTTCTAATTCTTCTTTCTAATTCCTAAGTGATGGGAGAGTCCCAGTCCTGAGGCACAAAGCAATCAGGTGGCTTGTCTCCAAGTCCCAACTGGCAAACCATCCAAAATTTAGAGTCTGGCTCTTCTTTCAACCAGGTCAAAAACATGGCAAATCTGAAAGAAGCTCCACTGGTGATATGCCACTACTCACTACATCCACATCCACCACGCCATCCACACATTGCTATGAGATTTAGTAAAAAGCTTCTGCCTCCACAGGCTAACTCTGATTAAAGTAGCTTCGTTCTTAGAGGATCTATTAATCAAACTGTCTCTGTATTTAATTAGGAGACAACGCATATAAAAATGTATCCTCTTTTTAGATCAGATCAGGTTATAGAGTACAAGAAATGGAAATCATAATCTTTATTACAAAAAACTTGTCTAGCTGGTTTTACTATGACTTAGTAGTATATAAAAGGAAATTTATTTTTAGTCTCAGCAATATAGGGAATCATTTACCATCCCAAGAAAGCAGCTAATGAAATACTGCTAATTTCTATTATAAAATTCTATCTAAAAAAAAAAAAATCATCCTATGTGTTACAAATTTTGCCAACATGCTTTTGGAAAACATGAACCTCCACTCTAAATGTGAAAATTAAATCACAATAATTCTCAAAGAAAGCACTAACAGGAATAAAGTTTACTTACGTCATTGGGTTGTTATCTGGCAGGTAATATATGAAGTCTCTCATAGTCATTTTTGAACGATCTGGAGGTCTCTGACTTTCATTTATTACATATTTGTTTTTCCATTGCTTCTAGATATACAAACATACAAATTCACTTTTATAAATATATAAGCATTTTAGATGTACTATATTAAGGCACACAGTTATATTCAGTGCCAAGTCCTAATATTATTTTTGCCACAATTAAGCCTACTTTTAGGGAATAGTGCATAACATGAATGTTAAAATTTGTATAACATTAAAGAATTTTAAAAACTAAAGTAACTACAATTGTAAAAAATTAGGCTTATAGACACCTTCCCAATAGCTTACTGAGAATTTATAAATACAAAGTTTTTGTTTGCTATATAGTAAACTGAGATTCTGCCTATTTCATAAATATCCTTGAGTAAAAGTTTAATATTTAATATTCCTCAAAATAAATCTTAATAAGCATATTCTATAAAAGAGAATATTTTTAAAGCTTAGGATTTAAAGGATTTGTAGTCAGATTTCTATTTTCTACTGATGTTTGACACAAAGCAACCTTTGCGCCTGTTTGCTAGGGTAAAATATTTATAATTATTTCACACAAATGAGAGAATTAAATGGAATAATGAATATAAAGAACCAAGCTAAGTGATTTCCTCTTAAGTAAAACAGAGACACTCTATAATTAATAATAAAAGCTAACATTTATTGGGATCTTACCGTTTGCCAGACACTTGTTAGTCTAAATGTATACTTTATATGTATTAACTTATTTTATCTTCACAACCCTTCAATGAGGTACATGCTATCAGTCTTATTTTATAAGTGAGGAAATAGATACAGAAATGTTAATTCAATTGCCCAAGGTCTCATAATAAGTATAAATCAAAGATTCAAAACTAAAGCATAAAATTCCAGAGCTTGCATTTGTCATTACTGTTACACTGCCTTCTCAGAAAAATAATCCTCAAAATTAAAAAGAACCTGGGCCCTCATGGTGTAGCGGGTTAAAGCACAGCACTGAGAAGCTGAAGCCACTTCCGCATGAGTTCGATTCCCGCCTGCCCCGGAGGTGACTACATGGCGTGGCAGACCTCTCCTGACCGGCCCGCTGCTCCCCTCAGCAGTGTACTTCGTCGATCTGCCTGTTCTGCTCCCCAATCTGTCTCTGGTGAAGCCTCTCACCGCCCCTGAGCCTCTGGCCTGTACCCCAGTTCTGTATGCACAAATAAATAAATCTTAAAAAAAAAAAAATTAAAAAGAACAAGGACTGTACTACCCACATACATCCAAACCTTTCCCATTTCTAATTTTCCACATTCTCAATTTAGAAAAAATGACCAATTCATTTTGATCAACTATATTTGTCATAATTCAAATGATTATAATTTGTGTCAACTGAACACCCTCATGAAAAATCTGTTTGTTTCATAAATGCTTGTATGTATATCTGTGTGAGTGCATAAAACTCAATTTGTACTACCTCACTGGTAGTACAGGGGTTAAAGTCTCAGCATTATGAGCTATCATAAGCTACTACAGCATGAGTTCGATTCTTGGCCAGGGATCTAGCCCACATGATGCAGCTGACCTCTCCCCTCTTGCCTGCTGCTCCTCTCAGCAGTGTATTTCATAGATCCACCTGTTCTGCTCCTCACTGTCTCTGGTGAATCCTCTCATCCCCCTCACCTCTGGCCTATACCCTAGTTCTTGAATGCATAAGTATAAATAAATCTTTAAAGAAAAGAGAGAGAGAACCTATTTGTGGCATTAACCAAATACAATGAAAGATATAGGTAAACAAATGTATAAAAATAAATAGCAAGGAAAAAAGCTTATGTCCAAAAAATAGCTGTTTAAGTGTTTCTTAATCATTCAGTTAAAATAAAGGTATATTATGGGCCCTTCCTGGTGGCGCAACTGCTTAAAGCACAGCACTGTGAACCTTGCCGCTGCCACTTCAGCACAGGTTTGGTCCTGTCCAGGCTAGGGAGGTGACCCACATGGCATGGCAGACCTCTCTAGACCCACCCACTGCTCCCCTCAGCAATGTATTCTGCTCCCCATTCTGCCTCTGATGAATCCTCTTACTGCTGCTGCACCTCTGGCCTGTACCCAGTTCTGTATGCAGAAATAAATAGATCTTTAAAAATACATATCCTAATTATATGAAAATGTTATTTGGTACTATTCCCTCATCAAAATGCTATAGATGCTTACTTTTCCGCAGTGATCTCTGACTACTATGAAAACAGAAATAAAGCAGGCAACAGTCAATATTCTGAATCGTTCCCTTACCTTTTCTTTTCTCAATTCTTCCTTTAACATTTCTCTCAGTTTCTGGGCTTTATATATTCGATATCTGTCGGAACATGGCTGTTTCTGTTTGGATGGGATGGAATTAGACTGCAGAGCTTCTTGACTAACTGTAGATAAGGGATGAGGTTCTGAAGGAATGCTGACATTAGGCTTAACCGAATTAGAAGTACTTGATATTCGTTTTTTTCTCTGTGAAACAGCAGAGGAAGATTTAGTGGTTTCTTCAACATCACTGTCCCCATCAGTCTTTTTTTCACTGTTGAAATTAAAAAAGAAAAATTAAGGGTACAGTAGACCTTCTTTTATATAATCTAGTTCTAAAAACTAATCTGGTAAAAATCCAATAGTAACCTCACCTTAAAAATTAACAGACGTTAATTATGACAGAGGCTGAAATAAAAACTTTGCTTGGTAGATCTTTTCAACAAATACCTAACTCCTTATGAAGATAGTATGCCTTTTTCAAATTCCAAAACCCTAAGCACAACAGATTACATAATTTCATGCTCATGCTTTTCCCTCAAAAAACAAGCCCAACCTGGGCAAAATACATGACATACACCTTAGTAACATCTTTAAAGATAAAACACCCAACGCAATGATAGTGAAGGAAAGGATAAACAGCTGGGATTACATCAAGCTAGAGTTTCTGTATAGCAAAAGAGACATTACAAAAAACAGACAGATATCACACTGATTGGGAAAAAATTTTTCTCAAACAATACTAATAACAAAGGATTGACTACAAAGAACTGATGATACTCAACAAAAATAAACAACCCCATCCAAAAATGGGCAGAAGAGTTAAAAAGATACTTCTCCAAAAAGGAAATGCAGATGGCCAACAAGCATATGAAAAAATGTTTAATATCACTTGTAATAAGGGAGATGCAAATTAAAACCACAATGAGATACCACCTCACCCCAGTAAGAATGGGACATCTTCAACTAGCAACAACAAAAGTTGTAAGGATGTGGAGAAAAAGGAACTCTACTGAACTGCTGGTGGGAATGCAAACTAGTAAAACCACTATGGAAACATGTTCAGAGGTTCCTTGAACTGCTAAAAATGGAGCTTCTACATGATCCAGCAATCCCACTCCTAGGTATCTACCCAAAAGACACAAAAACACTGATTCAAGAAGACACCTGCACCCCCATGTTTACTGCCATGTTATTTACAATAGGAAGAATATGGAATCAACCCAAATGCCCAAAAGTAAATGACTGGATTAATAAGATGTGGTACATATACACGATAGAGTATTACTCAGCAATCAAAAAAGATAAATACATGCCTTTTGCAGCAAATTCGATGGAGCTAGAAGGGATCACGCTTAGTGAAATAAGCCAGAAAGAAAAAGAAAAATACTGATGGTTTCACTCATAGCAGGAGCATAAAGGACCGGGGGAAAATAATAATAGTAATGAACAACTATGTAGCAGAGACATTTTACAGGAGGTGGAGTGGGGAATGGGATCAAAAATGGGGGTGGGGGGAAGTGCATGGGACTATGGTGATGGCACATGGGTGAACTGGTGATGGGAAACCTTTGGGGATTGCAGCTGAGATGGAAAAAGGCACAAAATGATGTAAAAATAAACAACTGTAATAAAAAAAAGTTTGGTAGCAAGAAATAATGTCAGGAGACCTGGACAGAGGGGTGCCTTGAAGTATACATCTTTTTCACCCATTCTGAAACATCTCGAAAGCTACAATGAAGGCATTCTTTTTTTTCCTTTCTTTTTTTTTTTTAAGATTTATTTATTTATACAGAACTGGGGTACATGCCAGAGATGCAGAAGGTGAGAGGATTCACCAGGAACAGAGTGGGGAGCAGAACAGGCAGATGGACAAAGTACACTGCTGAGGGGAACAGCAGGCGGGTCAGGAGAGGTCTGCCGCGCCATGTGGATCTCTTCTGGGGCAGGCGGGGATCGAACTCATGCGGAAGTGGCTTAAGCTTCTTAGTGCAGTGCTTTAACCCACTGTGCGACCAGGGAGGGCCTGAAGGCATTTTTTTTAAGCATAAAACACAAGAACAGGAAGAACAAGAGAGAAGTCAGCAGCAACCAAATTGATTTTGGAAGCTGAAAAGCAGATGTGTTAAGTGGTAACTGACTTAACAGATCTAGGAAAGTCAAATCTTAAACTGGCTGTAGGAGAAGTCAAGAGTCAATACTCCCCAGAATCTTCAAAAAGGCTCAGGAATTAACAGCAGATACCTCTGGAAAAGATGGTAATGAGCGTAGGGTGGAAGTGGTAGCTGAAATAAGGAAGATTAAATAAAGGCTACTTAAGAAACAACTTATCCCTAGATACCCTTTTCATCTCCATACTTTTTGTTACCCTGACGGACAACTAGTTTTACTCTCTGGAGAAGGTAAAAGAAGTTTCCCTGGACTACGGAGCACTAACCAGGTTCAGCTGGAGGTTAATGGTACTGTTCTAAAATAAGGGCAAAAAAGTGAATGTATGCTTTTTGAATGTTTGAAGTCTTTCCCTTACTCAGTTGGAGAGTGCTCACACAAGGGCATTTTATCTTCTGTGAAAGAAGTAAGAAGTCTTCTTTAGAAAATATGGCCAGGTCAAGAGAGACTAAGGATACTAACTTGGGAACCACCCACAAAAAACTCCATAAAATCACCCAGCAATGAAATGCACAATCCCACCCACATCCCACCCACAAACTTCTTAGACATGAAAAGTATGCAAAGGATTAACCTTCCTGGGGAGAATGGGTAACACTAAGGCAGAAATGAAAAGAAACCATAGGAAAAGTAACATGAAAGAGATCAGCAGGGTTAAAAAAAAAAAAAGTAATATATTGAACTATTTGAGAGGATATTGAAAATAGAAAAAGTATAGTAAAAATAAAAACTTAAAAAGCTCATGAGAAAACTTGAAAAGAAAAATCCATGGTATAGATTTGCCAATAATACTCTTGAAGGGTAACAACATATATCCATGCGACATAGGGGGAACAATAAGAAATCTTTAGAAATTAGGAACATGATAGCTACAATGAAAACCCAAAACAGGATTCAAAAGATGGTCAGAAAATTTTCTGAAAAAGAACAGAAAAATGAAGAAAATTATAGAA